CAAGCCCAGTGATTCACTTATCCTCAGAGTTTTCCATTACCCATCCTTAACAGCCAGTTAACCATTTGTTGCTTTAGAAAATGATAACAAAAATCAAAACATAAAATCAATTTAACTATGTTTAGCTGAAGCTCTAATAAAATAACCAGTATTTATGCTTTATATAAACAAGGAAATAGTTTAAAAACAAAAATAAATGGTACTTTATAAATGTTTTAGGGACTCTGCTGCAACAAACTATTGCAATTTCAAGCGTAAGCTTCCGCAGTTCACGATCAGAATCCAAAAACAATAAAAATCAATTTTTCAAACTGAGATTGTTGAACTTCAACCAGATTTCACGGAGTAGCCCCACCATAAACAAAACCAGTGACACATAAGCACATTCTCATGCGGTCTATAATGTTCTTATAGCATGCTTAAGTTGTGTTTTAAAAAGGGAAATTCATTTTCATGAAAAAAGTATAATAATCAGGAAAAAAAAACAAAGTAACAGATAAAATTTTGCTGTTAGGTGAAGCTAAATCTGTAATAAAGACAGCTGCATAAAGGTGGAGGCTTTTTCTTGAATTACAGGCATTAACATAACCTTTCTAGACACACACGAGCAATAATCTATCTTCACAAGGACTTTGCACTGACTTCCATTTTTTTTTTTTATTTCTATAGCCTGATCCTGACCCAAAAACAGTTCTTCTTCTTATGGGGCCCATAGCATGGGTAGTGGATCCCCACAACGTAGTATTTGTTGCAAAATTGGACCTTATAAGGTGAGAAATGCTAAAACACAAACACATGCAAGCGCACGCAAACACACACAACTCGTGTGTTCATGCTTGGACAAACTGATTTATGTAATCCAATGTTGTCCGTCACATGATAAGTGAGAACAAGCCCGGCTGCAGGGATTGCTTCCAGGAAGCAGCGGTTATCTCAGTGACGATCACATGATGACAAGTCCTCCTCCTCCTCCTTATGCTGCTGGTGGTGGTACACGCATAAAAATATCAGATCAATCACTAAAAGGCCTGGCCTAGAAAACAACATATAACAACATATTGAATGTATATTGTTTTTCTCCCATCAGTGTCATCATGGACCAAACTAAACATGGATGCACAACAAAAGAAAAGCAGGGGAAATGTCTTCAGTTCGTATATTCCCGTCATCGGTCTGACCTTTCAGGCTGTTTGAGGAACCAAAAATTAGATGTAACTTGTAATGTGAGTGGATTCGGCCAATGAGAGGAAGCTACGGAGACCCTTCAGAGTGGAGCCGAGCGGTCTGCTCCTCGTAGTCTAACAGAGGAAGTACAGTGAGTAATATTACTGCTGTGATGTAGAGAAGAGCCCAGAGACAAGCAGATGGTGCAATCCTAGAGCTGCTACTCTGATTTAGCACAAAACTTCCCTCTTTTTCCTGAATAAGAAACACATACATATATGGTATCTATAAGGCCATTTAATGTGATTGCATACATAAATCACATCTCATCTGTGGACTGATTACATGTATAAACTAATTACTATGAAAGTGGTACATCTTGTCATGGTAAATGCAAGAAACGCACTAAATGAGAGCAATTTAGTGCAAGAAATAAGCTGTTGAACACAAGTTTACACATTGATCATCTCTAGCTAATGACCAGCTGCATGGAAATTAAAAAACCTTTTTCTGATCAGTGAAGGCACCATACAGAGAACTAGATAGCAACAAGCACTCGTGGGAGGAAGGCTCTTATATCTTTTCATATTATTATTCTGAAAGAAAAAACATGACGGATTTAGATTCGACAGTGTGGGGGTTAGGCTGTCTGTCCTGTGTGTCTTTTGTTGTCCTGGGATTGAGTGACCACCTGTCTGGTGTTTCCCCTGCTTCTTAATGAATGCTAGAGAGGCATTATATATGTGCCAAAATCATATTGGTGAATATCTGTCTGGTACTTACTACTTTGTGATATCAAAAGTGCTGAATATGTAAAATATAGCGGTGATTCTTTATTAAGACTCTTAATAGAGTTAATTTAACTAATCGGAATTAATTGCATCATATATCAACAAATACGCAATATTTTAATTAAAAAAATCCTTCATGCAATTATTGAATAAATAAACATATGAGCTCAACAACAAAGATACTTGTGTTATTTAGTTTATTCAACCATCAAAGTGCTATTATGCCTGTTCAGCTTTCAAGTGGCTCAGGAACCCCTGATCATTCATGTAACTTCCTTTAAAAAAAACTTCTATAGAAATGTGGCCTGTGTTTGTTGACATTAGCTGTGATGCTGCAATACGCTTAGCATTGAGATTATATTTTAGGCTTGAACAGCTTTGTTGACAAACCAACTCGTTTTAGCACAACTTGTTCACAATAACATAAAAAAATGTCAACTTTCGTGTTGGGAACTAGCATTTTTTAAGCTATTATACGAAGGTGTGAATTATATATAAGTAACTAATTTAATGGCACCAGAAGGCAAAAAAAGTCTTCTCTATTTTTAGTTGCATTTATTTTTATGAATTTATCTTTTTTTATTATTTCTCTAAGCTTTTTAATAAAAGTGTATAATGTTTTCCTCCAAATCCCGGTGTCTGAACCTGCAGTGGTTCTTGTCTTAGTCTTTGCCTGCTGCACATCAATCCGGTTCGGCTGCATTCACTGGTTGACTCTATGTCTGAACAACAGACCTGCAGGATAAAATGTCCACTTCACTGCTAAATGAGAAATGTTATGAAAGTTTTTCATGGTTTCCAAAAGTGATCTAGATTCTGGAGGCAGTTCAAGTCAGGTGAGGTTTACAGCACCAGATGCTACTAATGATGCTACTTAGGACAAAGCTGCTGAATTTCCTGTAAGAAATCAACAAGTTATCTGTTTGCCATATTTCCCCCTAATGACTGTTTATGGAAACTTTCATACGTTCATCTGATTGAATAACTCCAAGTCTGCACATGTTGTGCAGACTTGGAGCAGGCGACCATTTTTCATCGTCTTGTTCTAACAATTTATAATAGAGAATGAACAAACTTACTTCTAAGCTACACGGACATGTTAACAGTTTTCACAATCATATTTTGTTGCACTCATGATTCATTTTTTCCCCCCCTTTTCTGTACAGTCCAACTCTATTTGCCATTGAAAAAAATACGACTTCCCTTTTTGTGCAAGCATAAATCTCAGGGACTGTTTTTGTCGAGCTGGAGGTGTCAAGGAGAGGAGGTGTGATTCATACTTAAAAGTGAAAACTTCTGGTCAGATTTTATTTTGTGATATGCAAAATATAAGAGCTTATTTTTCAACATAATAAAAACACATAACATAAAATTTCTTATGTTTTAGAATGCATAATGTGACTTAAAAGTAACAATTATTAATCTATTAATTATATTAAATTAGTTGTAAAGGAAAGCTATTAGTAGAAGCCCAAGACCACATTGGAAATACGTTTGTGATTTTCACGACGTTCAAAAAAACAACTATAATTAATACAGATATTTCTAAGTGAGCTGTTTGTTTCTTACATTCTTATTAAAAATGTTATACTACTTTTACTTAAGTTTTTTGCGACGTCTCGCTATTTACCTAAATAAACTTGAAGTTAACTTCACTGTTGCTGCCAAAATTAAACTATAATTCGTTTCTGACACTTTATTAGCTCTTTTTGGGTTTTTTTCTAGTTCAATCTTATTATATTTGAAATTCACTGTGTATTTCAGCTTTTTATTTTAAATACTGAAACAAAAACATAATTGTATTTTTGACTCCCTTAAAAATTAGATGCTACATCTCAAGAGGTTATCCCGGAAATAAATAAATTAAAATTTAATAAACATAATGGAATTACTAATTTATACTTGCAGGATTTTTTTTTTTACTTAAAAGTGTTTCAACTTGCAATAAATATCAAATTCAGGAATTTAAAATAAATAAACAAAACTGTTGCTTACTATTTTTTAAGGACCATAAGTGGTTTTAATTATTTAAATTAACTGAAATATTAGACAATATATTGATAAAGAAAAAAATATTATACCATTAGTGCCATAAACTTAACTCAGTGTAAATTTATCACAATTTATTTATTCTATTGCTAACCTATAAATAAATAAAAGTTTTTACCATGTGAATATATCTTTTGTGAATCAGCGGTGTGATTTGAACAGGTTCAAACTGCGTTCATAAAACCTGGCGGCAGCGAGAGTTACTAACATGATCGTCTCCGTTTGGTATCAGTCAAACCAAACACGCACTCACGCAGCGTACAGGAAACTATTAAAAACACATTCCCAGACTCTAAACACCAGGCTCCCTACATGGCGGCAACAAACATGGAATACCTCATGTAGAAGGCAGCTCCGAAATGTGACAAATCTGTCCTATGCCAGTTTCCTCCTCCAGCAGGGCCCACGCCCCGAGCCAGCACAACCTCCTCACCACCGCCGCCGTCCCCGCCCCTCCTCTGGGCCTCCTTCAGTAGGCTGCATGTCTCTGGAGGTCGCCTCTGACGTCAGCAGCTCAACTGGGCAGAGTGCCAGCCCTGTGGGCCCTTGATGGATGTGGTCGGTCTGAGAAACAGTCTGCTGTGTGTGGAGCGTGCGGCACAAACTCAATTCGGCCCGCTCAAACACATCTAATGACCCGTAAAGACCCGACAGGCCTCGCTCACTCTCCCCGTCTTCTGCGTGTCACAAACTCCCACAATAAAAAAAAAAAAAGACGCATGTGAAGCTGAGGTGTTTGAGCTGCAGAAGATCAGGATATTAAAAAGGACCTGCCGCCACCTTTGGGTCTGCTGAAAGCTACCTGAATGATCCCATGTGCCGCTGACTGGGAGTCAAAAAGAGCAAACCTCCAACCAAGCAAAATTTTACAGAAATTACAACTGTACGTCAGTGAAGTCGAGTGAAATCTGCTGATCCAATCAGAATGTCACAGTGATCCCGAGAGCTGCAGCCAGCGTCTCTGCATGCGTCGGTCTGTGTGTGGGACGGCTGTACCTGCAGGCCTGCTGCTGGTCTTCCTCTTCAGCCATCTGTCCAACGTCTCAGCACTCACGCTCTCCAACACAAATTCGTCCAGCATCTGCGGGTGCAGCGAGAGGTAGGCCTTCACTTTCTCATCTGTCAAGCCTGAAAAAAAAAAAAAAAAACCAAACACATAAACATCTGCTGGTTCTTGAATTGTTACCAGTTTACTCCCGACCAACAGATTGTTCGGGCATGTTGCATAAAAATTACGGAAGTGAATGGGAAGCGCAGATAAGAGACACAACAGCATTCATAGCTTTTCGACTTTCTCACAAACACTAATGGCAAACTAACACAACGTGTTGCATAACTAGGAAGTGAAGGGAAAATGATGCAATGTTTTCAGAGAAGAAATCTGCTAAGTGTTTCTGACATTTGTGTCTTAGCCTCTTTATCCTGATAATTATAGCAAGATGAAACTAAACGTTTTGCACATTGTTCTTTACAAAATAGTTCCCAGTGAGCAACTGAATGAATTTGTGACAGATTTAAGCCTAACTCTTTTTTTCCTCTAAACAGCTTCTTGATTTCAGAAAAAATTATAATCAACACTTTTAAAGCCATGGAATAATGTACTTTTTTACTCTAATGCAATAAATATTAGAATCAACATTGTATTTTTAAAGCAATAGAGTATGGAAAACCAACAAATCTGTTACACTTGGAAAAAAGATATATTTATATTTTAAAACATTTATATTTCCCTCCAACACCTTCTTGTTAAACATTCACTCAAAATATCCAAGAAATTATTCATGCAAATGTGGAATACTATATCAAATTACATAAAAACTAAACTCTTCATCAATACTTAAAATTATTTGGGGTGGGGGGAAACCCTATTCAAACTAAATTGCAAAATATATCACAAACATAAATAAATAAAATAATTGTGCGACAAATTTGACAACATTTTAGTAAGATATCAAATATATTGAATAAATTCCTTCCCTTTCTGTGCCATTTTTTATATGATCCTTCCAAGTTTAAATTTCAGACGGTTGAACAGATTTGTTGTATGTTTTTAATCCATGCTTGTGTGTTAAAATCGAGAGTGTTCCCACACAGAAAAAGGCGTCTCGACATTTTTGTTTACTAAGCACAGCTGGTCATTTCATCCTTCCCTCATTTCATACTGTTGCAGTTTTGATTGTTTCATGCCCGACTGGCGCCGTCTACTGCGGGTTGTTTTGAACTGAACATGCATGCGTCAGTTCACACTCGCCAAGGTGACGCTTGGCCACTGCTCCTCTGCTCTTTATTGCTTTTTTGCAAATGCTGACGTTTCAAAGCAAGACCACACATCACATGTGGGTTGAGCCATCCTCAGGGGTGGAAGTGTGAATCAGTAGGGAGACGATACAAAGAGAGCATTTTTTGTTTGTTTGTTGTAAAAACCAAATATATCAAAATGTTAACTGAAAATTTAAAAATTATTTTGATTCCTTACAACAGCTTGATTCTATTGCTGTCTTGCTGAATATTTAGGGTTATTATCCTGCTGGAAGGTAAAACTTTTATCTTTTGCAACCTCTAACAAGTCTATATTTATCTCCATCCATCTTCCTATCAACTCTTTCTTCCTTTCAGGATTGTGGCAAACTACGAGTGGAATTCCTTTAACATTGATTTTCTTCTTACCACTTTTCCATTAATGAGCTTCCTTGGACCTCTTGGCTACTTCTCTAATAAATGCTCTCCTTGCCTGGCCTTTTATTGTACTTATGTTGGTCTATCACATAAAATTTAACCCAAAGGCACACTGAAGATTGTGTCTGAAGCTTTACAAAATATGTAGAAGGTTCAAAAGGTATGAATAATTTTGCAACAAAACTGGATTCCAGAGTGTGTCCTTAAACATGTCATCAGAAAACTTTTGTGTTGCAGACACCAGGTTTCGTTTAAAACCTCAGATGGGCCGGCTAGCTCTCTTATGTTTCCTATCAAAGCCTCAAAACACAGGCATGACGATAAAGGATGACTTGCATGAGAGCTCACTAAGTGCTGCTGTTTACTGACGTTGTCAGAAAAAAAGCCATTTGTCAGATCACTGATGAGAGAAAGTTGTTTTAATGAAAGGTTTGCCTGTGAGAAGAATTCGCACTCAGAAACCAAAACCATTTGGGTCATCCGTGCAAATGTACTGCAGAGTCAAGCAGAACCGTGGCTCCATCTTTAAGTTTTACCATGTTACTGAGACAAGAGTGAAAACAACCACCTGGTCCATTCATTGTCATTTACTCAGCTGTAACTTAGCCAAAACACTAACGCAGACTGTGAGTTAGTGAGACGTCAAAACTTCACTAGAACCAAAAGTCAATCTGTAACACAAATTTGTGTCAACGCAACAATAACCTCAGGGAAGCAACTGTTGCTGCTGCCAACATGAAGGAAGGGTTTATAAGGCCATTTGCAAACGATTTGAAGTACTACATTTTACAGCGAGAAAGAATGTTTATAAGTGGAAAATACTGAACCCAAATGCCAATTTCCCCAGGGCTGAATGTTTCGGGATGTTCACCTCAAGTCAAACCCAGCTATGTGTGTGTGTGTGTGTGTGTGTGTGTGTGTGTGCATGTGTGTGTGTAGGCCATGAATTCCAGTTCTCAATTTTCCACCAGTCTTTGGTGGGTTTACTGGTATTTTTGGGAGGCATTGTCCAGTTCTGCTTCAATTTTAATATTTTTACAGATGTTCTCACATGTTTCTCCAGCATCTGTCATATCATCTGTCAGATATGACAGATGATGGATTCTGCCTATGATGGTGAGCCGACAAGGTTCTGCTTCAGCAAAGCATCCCCAAAGCATGACACTTCCACCTCCATGCTCCAACACTGCTATATGTTTCAATCTGTTGTCTAAATAATCCAGTTGTAGATTCATCTGTCCAAAGAAAAACAATTACAGAAATCATGCTATCTTTCTACATTCTCACATGCAACCTTCAGTCTGGCCTTTGTGTTTTTCTTAGGGAGCAAAGGTTTCATTCTTGCACATTTTTCATGGAATTCAAAATTGTGCAATCTCTTTCTAATTGTACAAGAATGAACTTTCACATACTTTCAAAGACTTTGAATGTCTTGACAGAACATCACAGCAGCAACCGCTAAGTCGACTGATTCATTCAGACGAGGTTTATCTTTTGATTCAAGGTTGAATATATTTACTATTTGAATTTACAATAAAACTTTACAGAGTGGTCCCGACAAGTTACATGTCACAACTAAATAACTATTAACGGTATCTTTTTGTTAGGCAGAAAATATATGATTTTACTGATTAAAAATGAAACACTTCAGCGTCATTTTTAACCATGGCAATGTCTCTGTTTATGTTGTTTAATATTGTTCGTGGTGGTTAGTAATAATGTAAATACATCAGAGAATTTAAAAGATATAAAATATCTCTTGTTTTATAAACCCTTTTTTTACTGTATTGTTCTATTGTTCACTTTGCAACTTTAATATATTTTCGAGACTACTTACTACCTATCGCGAAATTAGTCACCATGAGTTCCTCTGTAGAGAAAAGTAAGGCTAATGTAGCACCATATGTCTCACAGCTGGAAGTGGATCATGAAACACCACAATCATTGCAGAGTTACTTGCAAATTTACAAAAACATTAGTCAAAATCCAACTTTCTGACTGGTTGAAATAGAACAGTGGAGCCAAAAAATCTGAAGGAATAATCAGAAAACAATCAATAAAAGTGTTGTTTCTGACTAATAATATATGAAGTGTCAAATTTTTGAAAAAAGTAGTATAAAAAAGTAAAAATTGCTCAATGAACAAAAAACAAGTCAGATGGGAGAGCTAAAAGCGTTTTAATTTAAGGTGCACTCCTATTGTATGTGCTGTCAGATAACATAAATATACTGACTGGTGTGTTCAGACGGCCCTGATTGTTGTTATGACGCTTTCTCACGGAAAGCCTGGTTATCAGCTGTATCAGTGCAGACTCAACCTTTGCTATGATTCACAGCAGAACAAGCAGCTGGAAGCCATGTGTCCTGACAGCAAACACACGCATGTAATGTGAAGCACTGCAGATGTAAAGCTACGGGCGCTTGCGTAAAGCAGAACTGCATGAGGGACACAGACAGAACAGAAGTTTTAATTATCGGATCAGACTTTTAAGACGATTGCACTTCGATCGGGGGCAATGACCTCTTCAGACTAAAAACAGATTTGTCACATAAAAAAACTAATAAGGGATGCTTTTAGTCATCTGAAGAAACGAAGTTTGATCATTTCACTCAGTCCGTTACGAATATGCTATCAAACATTTACTATTGCACTAACTGAAAGAGATCATAGATCTACAGCTAAAACTACTACATTTAATTGCAGCAATGATGGACTAGAAAGCAAGCTCATACCACACTATTTTGAAGCATCTTCGAACAGAGGTTAAAATGATAAATAGGTTTAGTTTAGCTTAATTTAACTTACCATCCATAAAGACTCTTTCAAAAATAAATTTAAAAAGTGATTTTCTTAGCATGGTTTTTATTCACACTTGTTTAATTGAGGATGCTTTAGCTCTAAATGTCACCAAAACTACTGAGTTGTGCTCTACAGGCAAGGGTAAATTATCAGATAGTTTTCTTAAGCCTTTGATCACCCAAAGCCAGGCAGTGGAGCAGGTTAAGTCCTTTAAATACCTTGCCATAGAAATGGTCAATTGCCTCTCTTTTCCCAGCATGTGGGCTGTGTTTACAAAAAAAAGCTACACCTGCTGAGGAAAATCAATGCATTCCATGTTAATGAAAATGTTCTGGAATTGGTTTACAGGTCATTGATTGAATTCATATTGAATATCTCCACCTGGTACAATTTCATCACAATGAAAAAAAAAACAAACCCAAACCATCTTGCCATTGCTAACCAGTCTAGTAAGATTACCGGTTCGGTTCTAAGCCCTCTGAGTTGTACAACGTCTTTGTGGTCAGGAAACCAGTCACATTCCCTTCCAGCTTCAGAAAGTTCCCCTGGCCAGGAAATGCATTTATAAGAAAATCATTTGTCCCTAATGCAATCACCCTATGTAAGATACATAACCCATTTTAGGACTGTTTTAATCTGGTTGATTTGTGTGA